TTTGCGTTTATCCTATCGTGAAGATCGTTTATCAGGTCTATCGTGTTTTGCCCTTTATCGTATTTTGCGTTTATCGTGTTTTGCGTTTATCGTGTTTTGCGTTTATCCTATCGTGCGTGTATCCTGTCCTATCGTGCGTGTATCCTATCGTATCGTGCGTTTATCCTATCGTATCGTGTGTGTATCCTATCGTATCGTGTATCCTGTAAAGAATAACGATGCGGGTACTGTATCTAAATGTTGAGTTGATGGTCACAGCAAGTGTCTTCTTCTCCTGTACAAGTTTTTGAATAAATTCTGCCTCAAATGAATACAAAATTAGGTCTACTAACATCGGGGCGCAACTGGTACATATGGGAATTCCGAAAAATTGTTGGAAGACCTGATATCCAAAACCTAGATACCTTTTTAAACTTAATTTATTTTAGTAAAGTTATTATATTATCACATGACTTTAATATTAATTGAAATGGCAAAGCACACTCAACTATGTATTGAATTTGGTTCGGTCACGTTATTTGACAGTCAAGTGATAAATGCACATAATGTGTACTGCAAAGAAATTTTCAGTATAGCAAAGGTAAACCCTAGTTAAAATATAGAATTAATATTTTATTTGTTTAAATCTTTTCAAGCAATTAGGCTCAAGTTGAAATGAGTGTGACGTTAACGAAGTATTTTATCATCTATTAGGTAATGCTCCCAATATCAGGAAAGCAGTAGAAATTTTTAAGTGAAATATGAAGATAAAGAACAGAAATCAATCTCAAAAGTCTATCTAAACAATACAAATTTGGAGCAGAGCATACACGGACCTTTACATCAGAGGTGGGATCAGGTCCCATGGAAGAATAAGCATCTCCTGTCGACCCGTCACACCCTGCGTGTGCTCTTTGTTATTATCGAGCAAACGGAGAAATCCGAAGACAATTCAGTGTTTAAATAATGGTCTAACAATAAGAATGAAAAACGTAAGTCAGAATTCGCTTAATAATAGATTGTATTTGCTGACAAGTCAATGTATCGACCATAGTAAGTGCAAAACGATGGCTTTAAATGAGACTGTTGATATACTTGTTTCATTAACTTGTTTGTCAATAGCTTGCCTCGTTTTATAAATTGTTCGTTCGTGAAGAATGATCTTGCTTATCAACTAGGAGATATAAACCCAATAAGCATATAACAAGGATATATTTAAGAATCAATTCCCGCATCGGAGAAATTGTTGGAGAATATACCCCGATAGTCGAGAGATTTTGCCCGAAGTGTTCCAAAACTGGTGCATTTTTAAAAATCTATTTCAGAGTACTCTGTACAATCCGAATGTTTTTAATAAAAGAATTTTTTTAAATGACCAATGACATGGTAAGTAAATTTACGAGTTCCATTTTTATAGAAAAAGCAGATGTCTACGACGTCAAAAAGCCTGGATTTCAATTTATCGTCGGGAATGTTTGGATGAAATAAAATTTTGTGATTTCAAATTTTCTAGACGTTTCTTGGAGTTTTTAAGTATCCACATCTGATTTACACCGCTTCTCAAATATATTGTTGTACAGTACTCCTGAAGTTTCTCCCTCACTAATGTTAGTATTTTAGTGAAAAGTAAAGAATGAGGCTTGGTATAACACTTACTGGAACCTGCTATGTATCATTGAATGTAAGGGTTATTATGTAGTTTAGAAATCCAGTGATTCGTATTAAGTTAGATTGTTGGCGATATTAAAATTATTTGAAACAGACATGTGATTTTGAATAATTTCGCCCTTAGAAAAGGAGTTATGGGTGTAAGTTGGATTTCAACTTGACCAATACATACCGATCGTGTTCATCTTATTCTTTTTTCTCTTCTATTTTTTTTTTAGATGCGAGCTTTTAACATCCATCTAATGCATTTTATCTATTCTGACAAAGTGTCAATGTCTTCCTTTTCATGTTTGGTCCATCGCCTGGCGTACTCATCCACAGAATTCATAATATTTATAAAAGTATGATGTCATTTGAAAGAACGGGGTTCCCTAAATTTTGGTCTTTTAAGAAAAGAGATTTAAGGTCCTCATTATTAGCTATTTTTACATTACAAGTTATGACGTGTCCAGCAGGACTATAGTTGTAGGGTGAAGAAGAACATGAACACGGGAATTATGTATCAGATGTTCGATATCTAGGCACTGTAGAGTTGTTTTGTAATCAAAAACATTTAGAAGCAATAGTCCATGTATATTTGTAAGAAATACAAGGTGTGGACTTCAACATGAAATATGGTGGAATACAAGACTGGACCCTTTTGTGATGAAGAATATCGCTAATATTAACTGCTTCAATTCCTTTGTTTGCAAATTGAAGTTTAAGGGACAAAGGGGTTGCTTGAGCTTAAAAGCATATTTAACTTCTGTTTAAACCAGTCAGGTGACACACAAGCTGATACATGCGATGCAACTGTTGGTTTTGTAACACAAACATAATCATTATAAGGTACTAAGATCGCATTTTCTGTTTCCTTCCTTAACATTGCTGAGCGTTTAAAATGATTATATTAGCCATTTTTAAAGGAATATTTGTTATATGGGTCTCCATGCAGTTTAACATCTGATTACAATCTGTAGAAAGATCACAGAGCTACTTTTAGGAAAGCTTTGCTTCAATGGCCAAAATCGGTATACAATAAATCTATAACTTTCTGAAATTTTTTACACCTTTTCTATCATATTCTTAATTTTAAAAACATAGAAACAGTGAAAATAATTAATGAAACGGAAGTACATGTGTTCCACATTTACAATAATAATAATACATGAAATAATAATTAAATAAAATAATGGTCTCTTTGTACTCGAGTTGGGGCTTTTTCATTACCCCCGTTTCATAAAGTTGAAAGGATTGTGAATTTCTATAAGAGAATGCAGAGATTAATATTAATTTATGCTTAGGAGATTGTTTACATAACGGGTGTGCTTTTCTAGACTCACGGAGAGTTCAAATTGATGATTAACCTGTTTGCTTCCAAATGGATCCGGGTAATTTCCCTCCAGTGCCTGGACACTGGGTTAATTCCGCCAAGGCCATTTCTCTCCTAAGTCATTTCACTCCATAACCTATATCATTTCACTCCAAGCGTAAATTATTATCATTTCTTTAATTGAGATATACAAATTGTTTATATATTTATTTTTAGAATTATTTGATTATGAAATATTTCATACTTCAGTTATTTTTTGCGGTATGCAATATATTTTAGCACCAATTGCGAAATAAACTGTAAAAGGTTACATGTGTACCTAATTTATAAATAAATGTAAAGAATGAGTCATAATATCAAATTGTGCTTGTTAATATACATTGAAGTTGTTGAACCTTTAAACTATGAGATTTGATACGCTGAATAATTAAGTGTTACATGGATTATACTTGCAGATATCATGAGATAAATAGATTCCCTACAATACAAATCTGTCACTGGCTATTAATACTGAAAAATCTTAATTAATACGATGGAGTGCTGAAGTAGTTACTTTAATTGTCTGTTTTTTAAATGTCTTTACTAACCTTGGAAAGTGAAGAAGAACGGTTTTATTTATAGGTTAAAAGGGCAAATGTCAATCGGGAAGAATTTAAAAACATTGAAGATTCGGAGACTGATGAAGGTAATTTAAATTTAAACATAGCACATTGTAAACATATCTTTAAGATACCATTTGCACAAAAAATCTGCATTCATGGTTCCATACAGGGGGCTTCAACCTCAGGACCTCAAACAGGGCATTGATCTGAACTTACTCTAACCAAAAAATACTATAGTAAACTATGGTTTACTGTGGTAAATCAAAGTTAAAGATTTATCACAATTGTATATAACGTTCTGTGAAAAAATATCAATTAATATCACATCAATTGCACAAAACAGATAATATCAAGTTTTACAGATTTTCATTAGGATACTCATCAGTTGCGTTCATAGGATTATAGACACATTTTATTGTCATGTCTTTTCTTCACTGGAAACAAGCATTCGTACCCTCATGTAAGTCAGGATTTCCTCTGATATTCTTAACATCACAGAATGCAAATATAATAAATAAACAACGATTATTCAGTGAACATGACATGAATAGCAATAGCTCTGCTTGCATATTTTCTGTAATGCGCTAGAGCAGAGCAATTGCTTTTCATAGCGCCTTATTGACTGAATTGTTTTTTTTTAAGTGAACACGTGTATCTCTTCATTAAAATAAGTTAACTTTTTTAATATTTCATTTTTTTTTTCATTTGTCCTCATATCTAGTTCAAAAAAGTTTCATTACTTGATAATCCTAAACAAAAAATAAATTAATAAATAATAAAAACAAATAAATAAATATTTGCATTTCGTTTTTGTAAGTTCATGGATACCCTAAAAATGATCATATTTATATTTGCAGAAAAAATTTTTCCCCTGTTTTTATATTAATCATGTCGTAAGATGCAGAGTGAAAGTTTAAAAAATTGAGACTGCACGGGGTGAAATAAACGGATAAAAGTAAATTTCACACATATATATCCACGAATTACTTTTTTCTAGTCCCATTTTTAATATATAAGTAATATTTGCTTAATCATACTGTTTCTAGAAATACAGAATTTCATTATATGAACGGACTGAGCCAGTTAAAATTATTTTAATAAAATTTATCAACAGTTTTACTCTGGATTGAATAAAATTTGATTTCTTTGTTTTAATAATTTTTGGACCTGTTATCATGATACCAGAAATCTTTCTCACGTTACGTTTTTATAAATGTTAGATAATTTATTTCAAAAGATATGAATTTTAGGACACTTACAGATATGGAGTGAAATGTCCTAGGCAGTAAAGTGAAATAACCTGACGATTAATGACCTATTGTGAAATGGTACTGGAGCGAAATAACCTGAGAGAAAGGGTTTTAGGGAAAAATGACCCGACACCTTCCAAATAAGTACTTTTGATGCTCTATATGTACTTTTTTCCAAATGGAACTCACCAATACAATTTAAAAACACTGCATTTGGATTAGAACAGCCATAGATGCATGATCCGTTAAACGCATCACAATGACTTTCCTTACACTTAACACTGCATGCACCAGAACATCCGAAATGGTACCTATTTGGATCACAACCTACAACAAACTTCGACAAAATAATATTTTATGTCTTTTTCCCTCTCATAAAATTATTTCATGAGATTATATTTTTGAGGATGTTGGAAGACAGAGGATACAAACAAATTTTGTTCGAAAATCGAAAAAAAAACGCAACTAAAGCCATGTTTTTAAAAGTAAAATGAATAAATTTATCCACATATATTTTTTTTCAAGTAAAGCAATGATATCTTTAAAGTAATGAGGCGTTGTACAGATTGATACGGATTACAGCAAAAAGGTAGAATTTTTAACATCATTGTAAGGTACCAATATGAGAATATTTTAAAAAAAGATAAGATATTTGTACCAGGAAAATATCGTTCACTGATACACAATTCTGATAACCACTGCCTCAAGCTTGACCTCTATTTATATACCAATGGCATCCATTCGGCAAACCCCGGATGATTCCCTCGCCTTCATCATGTTTGAGGGAAGAATTGACAGTGTGCAAGCACAATCGCATCTAAATTGTCGGAAAACCCTGAAAAATTGTGATTGCTTTTTGGGGCGTTGATTTATTCAGCGGGTCAGGGGCGCATCAATATGCAAATGCAAATGACAAACAACCGCCAAGAGAAATCGGTATTGTATATAAGAAAATAGTTCTTCATAGAACTTACTTTGAAAAAAATAGTATTCCCGACAATAGTTCACAATCGCTATTAGTCAACTTTGTTCTGTCGTTTTTTTCTCTTTCGTTATATGTATTTTCACTTCAATTTTCTTGCCGCTTCCGTTTTTGTACTTACATCGTGCATGTACTTTAATTTCATGTGTCATTTCTTCAGTTTGTAGAGAAAAGCTGAAGGTATTCTGGTGATAATGTCTATAACTTCGGTATACTTAGACAATATAATAGTTCAATAACCAAAGACGTCGGAATCAAATTGAAAGGGGGCTAATTGAAAGGGGGGGGGGGCTAAACCCACCCAAAAAAATGCTTGGGGACTACATCCTAATTTTCAATGCCTATATTATTTCTATCTTTGCAAAAAAAAATAGTTGGGGCTAAGTCCACCTCCCTACCCTCCCCCCTCCCCCGGTTCCGACGCCAATGAGCCGGGATTAATAATAAGATATACACTGAAATGCATGATGGTATACAAAGAACTATATCAAATTGATATTGATGTAATCTCAACGTCTAGCTGTTATGTTTACGAACATGTATACGCGTGACTGATTATGACAGCTGGCATTATGTACTTCTGAATGTCTATTATGCCGCAGATAAGATCTCCCCACTGCAGCAGAAGTCACCTACCGCATTGACAAACTTAACTTTTGATTTAACCTTTAGCCTTCAGCCTTTTTTCTTTTGTGCCTAGAATGATAATTAATGATAGTATACACAGCATTGATTTTTTTCTAGATGCGTTAATAATGAAGCTTACTTTTATTTTTTCAGGAATGTTGTACCTGTAATTATCTCAATATTTAGTTGACTGTTGAAAGAGCAGGATTTGGAGTGGATCCAGATTTTTGCAAATTGGGGACACGTTGAGTATTTTTGGGGTGGGTGGGGTGTTGAGGTAGCCCATTTCCCTCTAACACAAAATCGTGTAATTTGTACACATTTCGGGAACAAAGACCAAATTAGTTGCTTAGGGTTTAAATATACCAATAATGACATTTTATCTCGCTGCAATCTTAATTAGATTTTAGCGAAATTAGTCCCAAACATATACATCAAAAATGAATTATACCAGTCAATAAGGCTAAAATAATTTGTCATAAACAAACCAAATCTATATTTAAGTATACTCTTACATTATATGGTGTGTCTGCATACAAATACCTAGCTGTAACATTTTGTTCCTCAAGCTCTTTCTCCTCTGCTCAGAAGCAACTTAATCAAAAAGCATTAAAATCATTTATTAAAAACAGGGAAAAAATAGTTTCACTGAATCCAGATATTAAAACAATTATTCGCATTGTTTAACAACACTATCAATACCTATTTTATTGTATGAATCTGAGTTTTTTAGATTTTAATCCATTTTGAAAAAAAAGCATTCCTTGAACTATTGACATGATATACTGCAACTTAATCTGTGACAAACTTCACCTGAAATTTTTTAAATCAATACTTGGTGTGCATAAATCTGAAAATAATTTTACTGTAGTATCTGAATTGGGTGGATTTCCCCTACACCTTGACATAATACTATCAATGATAAATTGATAGAAATTGATAAATGCTGTGGGATTAAAAATCTAGGTCAGTCTTTTCTACTTTTACAAGATGCATATTGTTAATCCAATTCACTATTTAAGAAAATCTTTCTTCCTGGTATATCTACATTTTTTTCACATCACCAGTATAGATGAAACTCGTAATTTAACTTCAATCAACACATCATATAGAGAAATGCTGTTTACTCTATTATGAATTTACGGTGACGTGACCGATTGATGATATTCTCGTCATGTTCTGTCAATAATGACCGTTCACGGTAGCTCAGTCGGTAGAGCGCTCGCTTCGTGATCGGGAGGTCGTGAGTTCGAATCTCGGCCGCGACTGACCTAAGTCGATAAAAAATGGGTAGCAACTGTTCCTTAGCCATGCGCTCGGCACTTTGAAGTGAAAGTTGCGGGTCCTTCGGATGAGACCTTAAAAACCGAGGCCCCGTGTCACGGCAGGCGTTGGCACGATAAAGATCCCTCACTGCTCAATGGCCGTAAGTGCCGAGTAAAGGTCAAAATTTGAAGCCCTTCACCGGTATATGGTGACCTCTCTATATGAGTGAAATATTCTCGAATGGGACGTAAAACAACATACAATCAATCAATCTGTCAATAATGAAGTTCCATTCTAGCATTTCCCTAGGCCAAAAACAATTGCATTTTTTCCAACGGGAGTTCCGTTCATTTTTTTTCTAAATTCTATCTCCAATGTGATTTTCAACTTCAAAAAGAATTATCTTATTATCTTTGAAACTGAAAGTTCAAGCTCCCATACCCTCATCTAGGATGAGGCCGAAATCTGTCAGAAAATGGTAAATATTTCTAAATTTACTGAATGACAATCCAAGCTCTTTTACCTAATTTTTTTCTGTATCAGTGAAATTAAGCTTCGCTTTAGATTTTCAAACTAAGAATTCGAAGGAACCATCACTTTTCCGTCATTTTGAAGAAAAAAAGTACATTCCGATAAGTTGCTTCAGCACTTTTAAAAGAACTTTTGGTCGGGACAATTACCTTAAATTACTGAAAAAATTTTCAGCAGACGAGAAATCTAACACGTTTTCGCATATCATTAAAAAGATATGGACATATTATAGTAAAATTTTCCTCTTTGACTGTGAAGAATCGTGACATCCTCTTAGTCCTTTGCTTCTCACAATCCAAATTATGAAGCAATAATGTTGTACATAATTTGACAAGTTGTGAACAAGGTTACATAATTTGAATTTTATTGAAACCGTCATTATAATCAACTCCAATCGGTACATTCAGTACTTTTATTTGTTTGTATCATCTGCCCTTTAGATCAAGAATATAGCAAACAAATGAAGGATTTGAAATTGAGAAACACCTCCTTAATTTATGAAGTGCATCTTACCCATAACTCTCACTTCGCATATTTCTACAGAGGTTTTTGTTACTTCAGCGCTCACACAGTTTGATGTAAATCCAACAGGCCTTTCGTTAAAGAAAGCTACACCCTGAGCTAATTTATTCACAGTTATGTTATACATAGACACAGGACAGCCTGACATGGGATCATGATGATACACAAGGCAATCCTTATACCCAGAAGACGGAAAAAACGATTTGTCATTATAGATATATATAGAAAACCCAGTTGCCCTGTTTTGAGCTACAACAGAGAAAAATATAGATCATTCTTGAAGTGCAAATGCCTAAAAGTAACTTTATTAAGGAGGAATGTTGTTCTGAACATGATGAAGTATCAGTCATTACAAAACTCCTCTGGTTTTATCCATCAAAATAAGCATATTTCTTAGCCAACTTACCTCCTGTTCTCTATTTACATTTTGATTCATTGTAGTTTTGATAGTCTTCTCAGATAATATGAAGAAAATTTTATTTCAAAGAAAGACATTTTTCTATCATTGTCTATGAAAAATATCCTCGAGATCTGGATTCTGGCCAAATTTTTTACGCCTTGTATCGAACAATTATATGCTCACTAACTCATATGCTTCTCTTTCGTTTTTAGTTTCAAATAATAAATATATCAAATAAAAGTTCCTAAATGTTAAAGATTAATTTTTCATAAAGAACTCTTAAAACATCATTATCTGCTATTCCATTTATTGTTATTGTGCTAAAACTGAACGATTTCTTTACATTTCTTTCAAAGCTGGACTTTTGTCTATAATCTAATTATAGACAATGCGAACTTTGCTTTTATAATTTCTAGAGCTATTTTACACATTCGCCAGATCGGCTAAAGCACTTTTTTATTTAACTTTGTGTGTACCATCTTAATATAAAGTTTCGATTTCCAAAAAAAAAAAAAAAAAAAAAAAAAAAAAAAAACTCTACTCAAAATGTTTGCTGTTAGTTTTAATTTTACCATAGGACTCAGTTTATACCACCGTGTATTTCGTCTTAAACAGAACCAAAATAAATTTTCTTTGATTTCACTATTCAGATTTTGAAATTGAAATTGATAAATAATTCTACCAAAAATATTCCAAAATAATAATTCTTTCTCTGTCCATTTTCTTTGATGGAAATGAACATAAGATTATATATTTAAAAATGAGTGACGTAGGTAAAATGAAATGTAGGTAAGTAACTCAATGCACTAGCAATTTGAAACCATGCAAACTTTTGTACTAAAATCAGCCAAAGCCCACACATCCCCTACGAACCCTTTCATATAGATTATCATACTTATCATGCCTATAATATTCATTTTTGATGGAAAAACCTACTTTCAAGGCGAGTTTATCAGCAGTTTCGTAATATATTTTTCTTCTTTATGATACACGCTCGTTAACAGAAAGGAACTAATTTTACAAAATATCTGGAGATACTTACTGCCAGATCGCAAATATATTTCCATGTAAGCAATATTAAAAGTCTTTTGCAGCCATACCTTCCACCACACCATTTTATAGTTTTTATTATAGTTAGAAATAGCACAAGTCCAAACGTAGGTTTGATTGATATTTCCATCAACTGCTTTATCAGCAGTCCAGTTCTCCGCGTGGGGACTGAGATTCCACGATGCACTTCCCTGTAGGCTTTGCGTTGGTGTATGTGCAAGATTTACTGAAAATCACATTCTTTGTGAATATTTTCCAAATTAAAAAATCATTATTAGTCAACCCTTCAAACTTTTCATTATTTTTTAAGATGTCAAAAGATCAAAATTGACAAATATTGATTGTCCTACAAAAATGGAGAATAAAGGTCAAGGGATATATAGAGACTTACCAAACGACGATGTTTTGGATACATAGTGTATTACAAAAATCAAGGTGATTGCCTCCAACCACATATCTGCAAATTTTTCAGTGAATGTCACTGTTGGCTATTTGTATCTTCCTGATATACTAGTAAAGCGGGTTGTATGTTCCCCTAACATGATTATACTAAAGGTTCCTTATACTTGACATAATGCTTCCATTAGATATGTAATTGGTTGTTTCTAACATGTTAATTGACAATTTCTTCCCTATTTTTGTGTCGCCTGCACAGCAGAGCGACACTTAGGGATTGATTTACCAGGCGTCTGTCTGTCTGCCACACCACGTATCTTGAGAACTGTAAAGGGTATGTATTTGATATTTTGCACGTATCTGGCTTGGCACTTTGGCATTTGTAAATTACCATGGTTACAGACCTTGTGACATTTGAACTTGACCTTTGGTCTACTTTCCAAATAGTTCATAGTGCCGATACACAGCATATTTTGACGTTTAAGAGATAAGTATATGCTCTTTAGCATACGTATAGTTTGCCATAAAATAATATGAAAAAGATCAGAACTACAGTTCACCTAACCTTGCCCTTTGACCTACTTTGCAAAAATGCTTTGGACGGATAATTCAACTTACGTGTTTTGAATTCGTAAAGGTACAGTGTAGGATGTCGATTTTGATATTTCGCATTATCTTGTGTTTATTATCCCATGACACTGTACTTTAAAACCGTATGATATTCAGTTTCTTCAAAAACTGAACTTTAAATACTATATAAATAAATCAGGCCTCAAGACCATAAACTGAGAATAGACTTATGTCAAAATTTTGATTTTTAGTATCTTGAGTTTTATTTAATGTGTTTGTTTACAAATTTGCAATTTTATATAACATTTAAATTCAAATATATGATGAAAATTTCGTTTCATTATCAAAATTATTTCAAAAGTTATATTGGTTTGAATTTATGACTTAAGTCTGTTCTCAGTTTATGGTCTTGGGGCCTGGATTGATGGTTGTAGACTGACAATTGTAGTAAAGACAGACTTATTTTTATTTTGGGATTCTTAGATTAGAAACATAATAGAAGAAAAATAATTATTTCTAATTAATTCTTATTCTTTCATCGCCGAAATATGGCTGAAATATTGCCGACACGGCGTTAAACATAATAATCAATCAATCAATATTTCATTTGCATTATTCATTTTAGTTTTGGGGGTTGGCAAGTCGTATTACTGATTCTATCAGTCTTACTATCCTTGGAATTATATTTTCTTTTGTTTATTTATTTATCTATTTATTTATTTTTTAGGCAAATGCATGGACTGTAATGCTAGTAGCACATAAATAGCTAACAACTATTAGATTTAATTGCATCTTTATAATGCTATATAGCAGGCGACAAAAGTGTTCCTTGGAACACTCAAGTTAATAGAGGAACTTTTTAGCAAAGAAAAAACTTAAAAATATTTTAGACATTTTGACGCTATCATCAGTGCTGTGTAAGGCAATACCACACATAATATAAAACCCTCATAATTTGTTTATTTGAGCATATACCCATTTGAAATTTGCTAGGTATATTGATGAAAAATATAATAAAGAAAAAAATTTAGAACGCATTGATCATAATTTTTCATTCTAGACAACTTGTCCACGATTTTGCCGGACAACCCTCGTATTTTAAAGAATTTGAATTCAGTAACCCTGTCGACCTGTCTTCCTGAATACACGTAGACCAGTCAAGCAAACAATCTGTCAAACCCTGTCAACCTGTCGACTTCTCTACCTGTCGACCTGTCAACCAAACATTCTGTCAAGCCGTCGACCTGTCATCCTGTCGACCTGTCAACCTGTCTTCCAGTCGACCTATCAACCTATCCACCTGTTTACATGTCCAAAATTTTACCAAAAAGTTCCTACGCTTCATACAATTTCTTCAAATTTCCTCATATTCTTTAGCAATGTACATTAATTCTTCAGCCCTTTGACGTATGAAAATATTTAAGGGTACTAATTATCCATATATCCTAGTTGAGCTCACAGCGTTAGGTCTTGTCTATCGCAACACGGTAAGAATGTACCGACGACATTATGACATTTCTCTTCGGCAATCAATTTTAGTTCATCCATAAATCTCTTTAATCTCCCACATATCTGTTTTATGTACACTACCAACTTGTGCTTGAGTGTCTAGATTTGAATTATTTCATAAAAAAAATTAAGTTTACATATTGCATTTGCAAGTAACTTTTGTTGTGCGAACATGTAGATTTAAGAGGAAGTGACATGACATGGAGGCTCATCATTGACGCAGATTCTTCTTCCGTGCACTGTACATCTTTTGACTTCACTTACATTGGTATTTTATGCAACTTTCGTATCTCTATATCGTTAAAAAAAAATTTAAAAAAAAAAAAGTAAATTTGTCAGACAAGTCTTGCGAAATGTCAGATTATCATTTTTGTTACGCCGAGGAAGAAGTGAGTGGAAGATCAATCGACCTTTAACGTCACTATGATAATAATAAGTTTTATGCAAACGAAATGAACTTAGAATTACCATTTGGACAAAGTTCAAATAATTTTTATACAACGACTCAAAAAATTAAGACGCTTTATAGCAAAACTGCAGTGAACATTATTGGAAAAAGCATGTGAGAGTTTACAAAAGAATTGTGGATGAACTGAAAATGAGTGCCGAAATGTACCGTAATAACCACGTCGGTATCATTTAGACAAAACCTTACGTTTTGTCAATCTTATGCTAAGAATTCAAAGTATTTTAAATAAGTGATTGATTTTTTTTCCGACAAACTCTAAAACACAGAGATGTATTAGTGTATACGCTTTTGTTGATACATAGAATTCTATTATTTTATAGCACCTGTGACACTACGTTTGGATCAACCCTCTTATTTCCTTTGTCGTGAAACCGGAGGGGACTATAGGTTTCCTCTGAGTCTGTCCGTCCGTCTGTCTGTCTGTCTGTCCCTCTGTCTGTCTGTCCCAACTTTAGCTTGATTAGTCATAGATCAAGTTTGCATTTCGTTCCGCTTCATTGATTTTTGACGGAATTATGACATTTTCAATTTTTAACGGGAACCAGATTACGCTTGCCGGTAGGGGACTAGTATTGTTAATGCAATACTCTCAGAATGCTTGTTTCCTTTGTCGTACTTTTATTACATCTAGCACTCAGCTGTTTTGGGTCGACATTAATTATACAGTCCAACATACATTCGCGTTATTTCCTTTTGCAGATACCTTAGAAGTTTTCCTTCTTATCTACTAGTGTTTGTTTTACGGTTAATAATTAAATATATTTCTATATGCTGAACAAATTGTCCTTCTGTAATTTCACGTCCTGGTACAAAAAATGATATCTATTTATACTGTTCTTGTGTTTATCTTGTTCAACAGTGGACCAATGGAGGACTTAAACTTTAGAATTATGATAAATCAAAGACAGCGTTATGAGAAAAAAGTAAAATATACGGGAAGTATTATCTGTATAGATTTTTTAAAACCTCTTATCACACCCTCGAAACATAAAATATGTCGAGCCGAGTGGCTTCAGGTACTTGGCTGATGGGAGGTACTTCCTTTAAAATTCATGTCCCACTACCTCTAATTAACGTGGAATAATGACCCTGTGTGCAATCCTTTCTTCGTATCCCAATTCTTTTGTCTCATTGATGGCTTACCGTCTAACCATCCTCAAATTAATACTATATATCTATATATAGTATATATAGTATTAATTAAACATATAATGTAAAAGCTGCCATACCATCACGGTAGCTCATTTGATAGAGCGCTTACTCCGTGATCGGGCGGTCGTTGGTTCGAGCCCCGGTCGTGTTGATGGCATACCGTCTAACCATCCTCAAAATAATACTACATATCTTAACCTAGTATTAATCAAACATATAATGTCAAAGCTGCCATACAATCACGGTAGCTCATTTGATAGAGCGCTTACTCCGTGATCGGGCGGTCGTTGGTTCGAGCCCCTGTCCTGACTCACCTAAGTCGATAAAAATAGGTAACACATGTTCCCTCACCAAGCGTTCTGCATTTTGAGGTAAAGTTGTGGGTCCTTCGGATTAGACTTAAAAACCCGAGTTATCGTGTTACGGTTTTGCTCGATAAAGATCCCTCACTGCTAAATAGCTGTAAGTGAAAAGTAAAGGTCTAAATTTGAAGACTTTCACCAGTAAACGGTGACGTCTGTGTACGCGTGATTTTTTTTTAGAACGAGACGTAAAACCATGTGCAATCAATTAATCACAAGCTGTCATTTAAGAAGTGCATACCGGTCAAAACGGAGTGATCTACGGAGGATGAAAAAATGCCACACAGAGGCATAAAGGGATGAATATTCCTTCTTATTAAATTTAATAAAGCCATATGTGGCATTCACTCTTGCTATAGAACTACTGAGAGACAGCATTTATCAGTTTTTGATTTATAAAATGAGTTTTTACGAGTATTGGAATTAATGAAACAAGTACATGTGCTTGCATTATATTACTAATTAACTGAGTTTCAAACACTCTGCTTTTTTATATACAGCTGGAAGTCTGTATCACGTGATTTCCAACGTGCATTGGTTCAGATTATTTTAGTACATTAATAACAGAATTGCATGTTGCTCCGATCGGAACGGAATAATCGGAATAACAAAGCCCAAAAACAAAGTGAGCATAATACAGAAAATCTCCCAGCTCAAGAGCACGTTTTTTACTTACAAAAATTGTCTTTTATGTTGCATAATTATTGTTATCAAGAGTGTCACAATTGTTTTGATTTGCTTATGTTGGTTAAAGTGTACCACTTTCATTCTCATCGTATAGTCGTTATGGATAGCTGGTCACGGCTGTCAGACCACTTTTAACAATTTGTCTGCGTGTAAGTTATAATTAGTTTTGAGCAGGCCGTAGAGGTGAGATGGGTTCTTCTTCGGTAAAAATGTTGTATGACCTGTGTGGTCGCGAGAGAAATAGCTTCGTGCATTGGGCCTGAATAGTCTTCGTGTCTTTAAGAAGTATTCCTGTGTGGACAGTACAGTA